GTGCTCCTGCTCATCAGGCAACGGCTATTCGCCAGCCCATCACAAAGCTCAACCTTCGTTGGTCACAGTTATATGCTGCATTATGTGACAAGGAGAACAAGGTTATTAGCATACTTTTTGAGGTTGAATCACAAAAATTGATGCTTTTATTTTTAGGTGGAACGTATGTTGCTACAAATGGGACGATTGTCGGAGGCTGCTGATCAGCTGATAGCTTGGATGAGGAAGACGCGTGGTACTCTGGATGAGCTATCGGTGGCTGCACCAACACTTCGCCAACTGGAAATCCAAAGATGCCAGCTGACTGTTGTTTCAAATGATGTGCATGCCCATGAAGGCAGGTTAGTACAGATTCAGTACTTCTGATGGTAAATCCTACTTTGGCTTTGGATGAGAAATGTGAACATTTTGTTTTCAAGAGAAAAAGTCATTTGCCAGACCTTTGATCTAATTGAAACTTTTGCCTCACTAAGCACTTATAATCATAAGTTTCAACAACTCGAAATCAGATGTGCTAATTCCTCATGTCTTTAAATTCGCTGCGACGACTTTAGCTAACTGCAATTTTTGCAAGTTCATAACTTTGAAGTTAGTTCCCATAAGAATCTAACGCAGTTTCGAAGTTTTGAGAATTTGCCGAGTTATAAACGCTGTCCCAAATGGATGGTCTATTGTTTTATCGTTAACATTTTTTTATTGGATCTTTGTAAGCTCTTACAAATCATTCTAATGGACTAATAATTTGAACCTAGATTCACACTTGCGAGTGGATTTTGTATCTCTGGCTATCAATAGCACAGTGTAAAATAAATAGAGTCACAGAAAACCTCATTTGACACTACTTATCTTTTTTAAAAATTTTTAAAATATTATTTCTAAGCCCTACTGACGTGATGGAGCAGGTTTGTAGTAGATTACAGTGGAAGTATAGGTAGCTTAGAGCTGGCCTAAAACACCATGGATATTGATTCATGGATAGTTCTAAAACGCTGGAACATGTCTGATGATATTATTTTAATAAGTCCAGATCGTTTTATACCGCAAGATGTATAGCTGCAATATCTTGCATCATAGTTAGGTAGATGTCAAGCGATTGCTACGGTTTTTTTATGGGTGTAGCTGTCGTTTTCAAATAAGCATCATGCTGTTTGACGGCCTTACATGCTGCTTTGCTCATTCAAGTCCTCCAGATTCTCAATTACTATTACTCTAGCAAACTGTGTCATTGCACAGAGAAGGCATAGTTAGGCTGGAGCTTTTCCTAAAAGATAATAGTCCATCATAGGCGAAAATATTCATAGC